GGAGAAGGGATTATGGTGTAGTCATCCTCTCCGGGGGACAATTTCTCACTTTTCCTCTCATTGTCTCTCTTTCTCTGGTGAGCAAATGCACCCTATGGCAAAAACCTAAACAACAACAACAAAGAATTATTAAATTTTATTTATTATTATTATTTTAAACCTTTTTTAAGGTTTATTTATTTATCATCATTGTTATTTTTAAATTTGCTATAGAGCACGTGCACTCATCAGACAGAAAGAGAGGGAAAATGAGAAAACAAGCCAACATGTCTGGGACTCAAACCACAGTCAGCCATGTGGGAGTCCAGCACCCCAACCACCATGCCACCTGCTTACTTTGAGAGAAAAAGAGAGGGAAAGTGAGAAAGCAAGACGCCAGGCCAGGATTCAAACCTGTGGTCAACTAAGTGGGCATGCAGTGCCTCAATCACCACACCCCCTGCTGGCACCCACGAGAGTTTTCTTAAATCATACGTAAAAATACCTATTCTGTTCGATTGTTTATGTCTACTTCAGGGGCTCCATTTATCAGTTTAATGAGTCTCTGTGGTTTTCCTCTATGTCTTTCATCCCCCCCATCTTTTTAATTTTTAGGAATTGTCTATTTAATTTTATTATTATTTTTTGATTGATTTTTTTGGAGAGGTTTTTGCTATAGGGCATGTGCGCTCGCCAGAAAGACAGAGAGAGACAGAGAGACAGAGAGATAGAAAGTGAGAAATCACCCCCTAGGGAGGATGGCCACACCACAATCCCTTCTTCTCCATTCTCCTCTTGGGATCTTGGGCACGCACGCACAGGCACCCGGCATGAGTTTTAAGCCACTAGGTCTGGGACTCGAACTGCAGTCTACTACATGGGAGTCCAGCGACACAGCCATTATGCTAACTGCTGGTCCCTGATTTTATTATTTTTTTACATTTGTTATAGGGCATTTAGGCTCACCAGAGAGAGACGGGGTGGTGGGGGGGAGGAGTGAGAAAGCAAGTCTCCAGGCCTGGAACTTACACTGAGGTAGGCCATGTTTAGCGCCTTAACCACCATGCTACCTGCTGGCCCCAATCTTGCTTTTTAATGCTTTCTTTCCACTTCATTTTGGTCACTTTCTTACTTCTGTGCACCTCCCTCAATTTTCTGCAGGGTCTATTAAAATATTTCTTGCTTATAGAGGTGTAATGATTACATCATGGGACTCCCACGTGGTCGACCGCAGTTTGAGTCCTGGGCCCAACAGCTTAAACTCACACTGGGCACGTGTACGTGCGTGCCCAAAATCCACAGATAAGACTGGAGGAGAAGGGATTGCAGCATGACCATCTCCCCAAGGGGTGCTTTCTCGCTTTCTCTCTCTCCGTCTCTCTTGGTTTCTCCAGTAAGCGCACACGCCCTATAGCAAAAATCTCCAAATAAATAAATAAAGTATTTCTTGGGTTTCTTTTTATGTTGGTCTTCCTTTCTCTGATGTTTTTTCTTCTGCTTGTTTTCTATTCTCCGGCTCACATTTCCTTGTCTGCTTCCCGGTTCCTTCAGGGAGCATATTTTTGCTGGCACTTTCCATGATGGGCCCCACTGGGCCTGCTTCCTGCTGTCCTGTCGGGCCGGTCACCTTATCCCGCTGGCTTCTGCTGCCCCTCACCACTTTGGGCTTCTGCGGTGATTGGAGTTGCTTTTGGCCGTCCTTCTATGTATTTTGAGTCTGCAGATTATATCTGTCTCCTTGTTTTGCTGAAAATGGAGTTATTTTCCTTCCCCTTGTTGCCTTTGTAAGCTGTCCAAGAGTAGCAGACGAGGAAAATCGCTATCCTGTATCTCACGCTCATGCTGAGAACCCATCCACTGAGTCCTGGATCTCTGCTTATGTGTCATTCTAATGATTTACCCAGCACTGGGGTCTGAAACCTGTGCCTTCCACCAGTGGTGGGAAATTATAAGATATATTCTCTTTGAAAATGCCTTCTTTTTCTCCTTTGTACTTCCTCCCAGAACTCACTCTATCCTCTGAGGACCTTCTCTGCTGTCTTTCATGTGTTTAAATCTCTCTTCCATATTTTTTATCCTGTTACCTCTCTGGGCTACGTTCTGGATCATTTATTCTAGATGTTCTCAGGAAGACCTTAGGAAACCATTCTGTTAGAAATTACTTGAGGGGGCCAGAAGATGGCGTAGGGGTTACATTATTGGACTCCCACATGGTCAACCACTATTCAAGGCCTGGACCCCGTGGCTTGAAACACACTGGGTATGTGGGTGGATGCTCAAGATCTCGGGAGGAGAATGGAAGAGAAGGGATTGTGGCATGGCCATCCCCCTTGGGGATTTCTCACTTTCCTTCTCACTGTCTCTGTCTTTTCCCCCACCCAAGTACATGTGCCCTGAAGCAAATATTTATAAAATAAATAAATTAATTAATTAATAAAAAAAGGAAGCAAATATCTCTAAAATAAATAAATTAATTAATTAATAAAAAATTTAAAAAATCACTTGGAGACCAGCCAGTGGTAGTGGTGAGGCAACCCTCTGCAACACTGGACTCACACAGGAGGTCCTGTCATGCCTGTCAGGCAGGCATGCACCCCGATGCCTGGAATCCAGAGTGGCTGAGGCTGGGGGTGGATTGCAGTATGATGATCCCATTGGGGTGCCTGTCTCTCTCCCAGACTTTAATAAATGAAGGGGAGCTAGCTCCTGGCCTCGCGGTTAAGGGAACTGGGTGCTACATGGCCAATCATAGCTCAGGTCTCAGCCCTGGAGATTCAAGAGACACATTGGTCATGTGTGCGCATGCTCCAAATTCCGAATTCCTACAGGATGTAGAGAAGGAGGAGAGGGGATGGCGACATGGCCTCCCCCATGGGGGAGAGCTTTCTCCCTCTCCTCTCTGCCAAGAACAAGTGCCCTATTGCAATAAAAAGAGTAGATCTATAATTAAAATAAAATTGCCCAGCAGCTCCCCTCCCCCACTTCGTTCTTTTCCATAGCATTTCCCACCATTTGACACACGCATTTCACATACTTATTTTACCTTTTTTGCACTCACTTTTTAAATTGGTTTGTTTTGCTCTGTTACAGGCATGTGTACTTGCTGGGGAGAGATAGCAAGAGAAAAGGGAAAGTAAGAAATCACTCCCCAGAGACAATGGCCACACTTCAATCCCTTCTCCTCCATTCTCCACTCAGGATTTGGGGCACACA